TGAAGATACTTTTGCTTCATTAAATATATATGCAAGTCCTCAAAATATACAAGGGGCAGTACAAGTTTCAGTGCAATGCCTTTTAAAACTAGCAAGGCACCAAGAGGGGAAGACACTGACCTCAGAGTCAGCACAGTTCAGTACCACTGAAATGAAGCAGCTCTCTATTTGAAATGTTTTGAGATCTGGCTGAATAAACCAAGACCCCCAAAATTCCCACACCTGTAGAAAATATGGACACTGCTTTGCTCTTGGCACATCCCAGCCTGTTCTTGCTGCACAAACTCCTGCATAGAAAGAGTTATAGCCAAACACTTTTTATTCTTCCATGGTAAAGTAATACTCTGTTTAATGGAATTTTTTTCTTGCCAGGGTTTGAGAAAGACATCAGCACTCTCTCCCCAAATTCCCTCTACACTGCAGTGTTTAATGATATCTAATCTAAAGTAAGAACATGATGCTTAATGAATATGCATTTGTCACATGAATAGCAGGAACAGATTAACTCCAAAAGTCCCCTGTAATCTGCTGGGAGAGATATGTGGAGTGCAGGAGTCAGCACAGCCAGAAAACCTTCAAAATATTTTTCTTCAGCTCTAATTTGAAAAACTTCAATGGCAAAGCTTACCTAAGGAGAAATGGTGCTAACCACAGATTTATTTATTTCCTGCTGAAGAACAAGGCCACGTGAACAACTGAGATGGTTTTTTTCTTGCAGGAGGGTGTCAGAGCTGCCAAGTTAAAAGCTTAAGCTTTCAGATTGACACTGACCCTATTTATTAACACAATAATGCGCTTGTGGCTCCTGTGGCTTTCCAGGATTGCAGAGAGCTCTATGTAAGAGGTTTTTTGCTGTCCCATTTCAGATGGTTGGCAAGGCAGAGTGTAGAGTTGAAAGTACATCATGTGGTGTCTCCTGAAAGATGACTGCATTACTCATGATCCTCGCTTTCATGGCAAGGCAACAAAATCCCTTCAGAAACCATTTATCTCTCAGAACAGGCTGACTTTATTTTTTGAAAATATACGTGATGTTTCTCATACAAGACTTGAGGAGTAGAGTTTGGAGTAGTCTTTTTGGGAGTCAGGCAGTCAGATTAGCTTTCCCCTGGGGCATGGCAGCTGGAGAGCACCATCCCTTAAGCCCTGGCATCAGCCAATTAGGGGAAGTTCCACTGCTGGGAACTAGCAGGGCTGGGAAGCAGGTGAAGGACTACTCCTCACCTGGCTCCTGTCTCGCAGAGAGGCAGGGCTTGGAGCCTGCCCCACTGCCTGCCATGCCAACTTTATACATTCCTTCAGGATACTCAAGTCCCTTCACAATGGTATTTTCAGATCTTGCAGAATTTCTAGTTAGACACTAACCCTTTAATATCAAACAGTACTTGATCCTGCCTAGAGACACGTAAGATTCCCAACAAACACAAAAACATGTTGTTGAAAACGAGGCCTATTGGGAAAAAAAAATGTAAGAAATTTTTACGTCAGAACTTTTCCTGTTTATACTTTTGATTACTGAAGAAGCGTTTACTGATTTTCAAAAAACAATGTTTCTGTGGGGTGTTTTTTGTATTTTTGTTTCTTTGATAATAACTTTTTTTTTACATATTATCTGGAGATAATGTTTACTGTTTTCCAAACATCTAGTTGGTGCATATCAGTCCTAAAAAAAATAAGTGCTTCAGGAATCATCATTATATTAAAATTTCATAAACTCATAGAACAGCTGTGGTTCACAGGGGCCTCTGGAGATCATTTAGGGCAACCCTCCTGCACAAGCAGGTTGCTTAGGACTATGTCCAGTCACATTTTGAAAATCTCTAGAGATGAAGACTCCAAAGTGCTCTGAGCAACCTATTCCACTGATCAATCACTCTTATAGTAAAAAAAAGAAAAAAAAAATCCCTAAAAAATTCTTATGCTTAAACAAAATGTCCATTACCTGTCACTGGGAAGAGTCTGGCTCCTTCTCCTTTACTCCCTGCCATGAGGTATTTATACACATTGAGAAGGTCCTCTAAGCCCTCTCTACTTCAGATAGAGCAGTCCCACCTCTCTTAGCCTGTCGTTTTACTTAATCACCTCTGTGGCCCTTTGCTGGACTCTTTCCAGTATATCCATATCTTTCTGCTCTCCAGCTGGACAGCCCCAAACTGTGCTGGTGGATGGGGCGGTTCCTCCCCAGGTGCAGGGCTTTGCACTTTTGCTGAATTGCATGACATTCCTGTTTGCCCAAATCTCATGCCAATCTATGTCCCTCTGGATGGCAGCACAACCATCTGGTGTAGCATCCACCCCTCTGAGCTTTGTATCCTCTGCAAACCTGAGGGCACGCTCTGCCCCATCATCCAGGTCATTAACAACAATGCTAAAAAGCACTGGACCCAGATCCAGGTGGTGGATGCACAGTGCACTTGAAGACAATCCTGTGAAGGAACAGCACACTGGAGTTAAAAAGCCAATATTTACGTCTGCATTTGGCTGCTGCCTCACCAACAAGCCTCTGTCATGCTGTTATCCCTGCTTTTATCAGAATGAGCTCCAACTTCTGCAAAAGCACAGCCAGCTGCTTTGCAGCTCTGCAGCAGAACCCAGGTGGCACAGGGACTGAAGCTGCCACCTTCTGCCCGAGAGAAAGTCAGGTACAGTGGCACCAGCAGAGAGGATCCAACTCACTGCTTTCAACTGAAAAATTCTTTGGGACATAAGAGGCCACTGTTTACCTGCTCATACATGGATTTTGCTAGCTGGAGCATTTCCAGTGTTGGCCATCTAGTAGAAAAGGAATTATCTGCTAGCAGGAAAGTTTCTGTGAGAAAGCTTCAACATCTGAGTTTGCTGCAGAGTGGGCCCTGTGTAGATTTTGGTTGCTTCTGACAAAACTATCTATTTAAGAAACAGTTTGGGAAAAAGCTGGATTGAGTATCTTATTTGAAAGTCTCAGGAGAGTTCTTTACATGATTATACGCTGTAGCAAAAGAGATGTTTGATTCCTTGCATAAATTATTACTATTAATAACTGAATTATAAATTTAAGTATTAATTATTCTAATGAATCCTTTAGTACCTAACAATTAGAGAGTGTTACAAACTCTGAAATAAGCACTACAAGTCTCTAAATAAACAACATATTTGTGGCCTGAAACTGACATTTTTCCTTACATTGCAGGAGAAAGATCTGGATACTCATTTACTCCAACAGAAAGCAAGCAAATGTCAGAGTAAGTAAGAATCAGACCTCGAATCCCATTAGACTTGGCCCCCTTTAATGGAATTTCCACCCTTCTGTCATGCATTCTTCTGCTTGAAACTCTTCTTCAAGATTATATGTGCTGGGGCACTTTCAGACCTCTCCCACGTGTGCTCTCTCTTATCTGACTTCCATTCTGCAAACTAGCATTTCACTGTATTTCCTTTCTTATAATTTAAACAAGGGGTCTCCGAGATACGGAGAGGCTAATCTCACAATTCTCAAAAGCATGTCTGTAACTCTTTCTATTTCTGGACTTAATTCTATATTTAACACTTCTTTTCTTAATATATATTTTGTCTTTGATCCCGCTCAAGACTCTCACAATGTGTTTTACTTGGCTGTGAAGAACCATGCCCATATGTAGTGTTAAGACTGAAAGAAACTGCAGAGCAGTAGCTGCAGTGGGGCTGAAAAGGGGCTCCCAAAACAGACACAATTTGCCAAAAAAGAGTTCTCTGAAGAATACCGAGTGTCTCAGTAGTGCCGGGCTCATAGCGCATACTAGGGTTAGGATCAGCACTAGCTCTGAGAGAACAAGAAACGCTGATATGCAGCTGGGATGGGGCTGGCAAAGGAAAAATAAGGCTGCCAAAAGAATTCTGGTAATAGTAAGGGTCTGGACTGAACCATATCACAAGTCCTGGTTTAGGGTTAGTGCTGGTGGAGAGTAAAAGCCAGATGTCAAGTTGGAGTTGAGCTGCCAAAGGACTGCAAGAGCTTCAGAGAGAAAATTTCCCTGAGCAATTGGTAGTTAGGGGAAGTGCTGCTAGGGCTTAGCTTAGCATTAGGGTTACATGTGGAAAATCTCCCCAAAGTTCCAACTGGAGTGATGCTGGAAGGAAGCTGCCAGAAGAGAAATAGTTTAGCCCAAAAGGGGAATGTTTAGGCCCTGGAAGGGCTGTGGAGTGCCCTTGCAAGGCTGGGATTAGGGCTGGCAGCATCTGTAATTTATGTACGCGATATTGTACTTTATGCTTATCTGGCATGTGAGCACATGTAATATAATCCACATGCAAGAGAGGTGTAACTCCAAAGAGATTAACAAAGGTGAAGGTTTATCTCCTTGTTCATGCTGGACTGCTGAGCCGTCAGGGAAGGGAGTGCAAAGGTTCTTAACCGTGTGACACACTGAGAAGGGCAAGACTTAAATTCACGGGCAGCCGGCGGCAGAGGTGACACGGGAGGCCGTGAGGTGGCCGGGCTGGCATCCAATATCACATTCGTGTAACATCCATCCACACACACGCCCGTACCGCGTTAATATTTTCTCACAACCCCACGCCCTCCCCTCACACCCGGCCGGGGCGATCGCGCGCCCCCTGCTGGCCTGGTCGCCCCCCCCCCCGCCGGCAGCGCCGGCCCCGCCCGCGCCTTTCCAGAACCTTCCCCGCCCGCCTCAAAGATGGCCGCCGCGCCTCGCCTCTCCCGGCCCCCTCCAGCCAATGGCGCCTGCGGGCTCCGCAGTCACGTGGGGGGGGTGAGCCAATCGGAGAAGGGAGGGGAGCGCGCGGGGCGGGCTGGCTGGCGTCAGTTCCGCCGCCGAAGGACTGGGGCCGGAGCGGGACAGGCGCGGCGGAGGCGGCGGGGAAGGTACAGGATGGGCCGGGACGGGCAGGGCAGGGCCAAAAACGAGCGAGGGTCTGCGGCCCGCCCAGCCCCAGGCTGAGGCGGGCGCGGCCGTCGGGCCCAGGAGCGGTTTGAGGCGCGGCGGTGACTGCGCAGCGCTGCGTTACGTTAGTGCCGGTTACGGCCAGTTAAATAGGCGGGAATGCCCGTGGGGTTCTGTTCTGGTTTTAGCTCTCTTGCCAAAAAGAGCTCTCTTGTAAAGCGGTTGAAGTTGTCTTGCTCCAAGTATCAATTTCCAGGGGAAAAAAAAAAGGCCGAGATCCCGGAGTTGGCGCTGTGAGTTCCCACAGGCCGTGCCGTCCCAGTGTGGGTGCGGTGGGACAGGCCAGAATGCGCCTCGTAAAGTGCTTACCCTTATTGGAAGCAGGATTTCACAGCTGCGCCTCGGAGCAAAGTAGCTTTCTAGCAGCGGGATTAATTTCTCACTCTCACATCTCTGTGGTTAATGTGAGCTGTCCGGTGCTGTGTGTGCTTGTTCTCGCTCGTGTTTAGCTCATACTGGACGCTGCGCACGTAAGGTTTGACCTTTGAAAAGAAGGTGCTGGTAGTTGGGGTGCCCTGAGATTGTGTGTGTTCATAATTAAAGTGTGCGGGGTTTTTTTGTATATCGTGCACCGCTGGTGGCAGTGAGGGGGGGCAGTTTTCGTACTGCCTGCAGAACACAAGGGCTGCGTCTGTCGGTCTGGCCAAGAGTGGCGTCCGTGTTTTCTGGACAGGACTACACAGAATGACCTGAACCTGCGTGCTGGGGCTGTGACCTTGACTGAATGTTGTGCCCACAAAACCAACTGATTCTGTAAAGGATGGTGTAAAATTTCTCCTCAAGCTTTTTTCTACCACATGTTGCGATGTTTAATCCTTTGGGTTTAGATTTGGTTGGAGTTTAAGTAAATTGGGGGAATCTTTATGCGCTTATTTGGACAGCAGAGTATTCATGCAGTGTTATGTCTCAAAGTGAAGGTGACTCAAACAGAAGTACATAAAGAGTATTGATTTAATTTATAACATGAAAAATGGTATCTTCTCTGTTTTTGAGTAAGCTGTGAGAGAGAAGGCTCTGGAAGTGGGAGAAAAATACGAGTAAAATAGTTAAACTGCATTTAAGAAGGTTTTACCTCTTATTACAGTACTTATATAGTAATAATACTGGTTTTACTGTAGGCTTTTTCTTTTCGTTTGGAGATTGTTTTACTTTTTATTTTCTTTGCTACTCTTACTGTGGTTGAGAATAAGTAGTAAGTGTGCCTTGTCTGAAAACCTTGTAACAAAATAGTAAAATGCATTTTCTTGTGTATTTGTAGGAACGTATCGTAATTACCTGAGCAACCATGCTGGCTGCAAGGCTGGTGTGCCTGAGGGCACTGCCATGCCAGACTATCCGCCCTGCTCTCACTCAGGCTTCCCCAGCCTTGAGGAACTCCAGTATAAAAGCCTACAGGCTGTGGCAGCCTAACCAGGTAATATAAGTCCTCTTTCTGACGGCCCCAGCTGTGGGTATTTTAAAGGCTTGAGCATGTTGCCAAAAGAATCACTTTGCATGAGGTACCTACTTTGGATGATCAGAAGCCTTCTGCTTGTTTGAGGTCCCTGCTCAGGTTTCCCAGTTTCCAAGTTACAGTCTTAAATATAACCTTAAAGTAAAAACTTTCTTTGCAATTATTTTAGTCCCAACAAGTGTTTAGAGCTGTAGCCCAGGTTAGAGCGATTTCTGAGCTATGGCAGGACAATCATAGATCTAACCAGTAACTTTAAAAACTTGTCATTACACTGAGACACTGTTTATTCTTCATTGAGAAAAGATATTGCAGACATGCTTTCTAGCCAGGCAAGTCACAGTGGTAAGGGGATGTTGCTCCTCTGTCATCACCATGGTGAAAGAGCCAGTGGCAGACTTTACACTTTGTCCTTTCCTCTTAAGAGTTCTCAGTTTGTAGCTGTGATGTGGTTTTTTGTTTCTTGTGAGTTTTCAAGTGGTGGGCAGGATTTTGTTGGCAGCTAAACACAGCAAAACTGAGGGGCTCTGGTAAAGGTCCTGAACTGCAGAGCTCTAATGGCTGGTGGTAATTTAGATCTCCAGTTTTAGTGTTAAACTCCTAGCTTTGAGTGAGTCCTTGGCTACTCAGGTGCAAGTTTAATTTAAAATTTCCTGGAGAAAATGGTAAGAAAACTTCAAAAGTTGTTTTTGAACTTTGAGTTTATTCTGTGTTGCTTTTGCAACTAACTAAGACATTGAGTAGCATACTATAGTTATTTGGTGCTTGTCAGCCTTTAAAATCTTGAGTTTATAGGCCCTCATTCAAGATTTATTCTCTAAATTAAGGTTAGAGTTGAAAGCAAAGAATTCAGGCTGCTTTTCCAAATTTAGTGTCTGTAAAGTATAAATACTGTGCTAGAAAATTTTTTTACATTAAAGCATTTACACGAATAGTATTTTAACATAGGAAGCAAAATATTTTTTTACAAAATAAAAAAGTAAAGATTATGTTTTTACTTTTAATATAAAAGCATGTGGCAGTGTTTAGTATGGTGGGACAAGAGCAGAAGAAATGCAGTCTGAGAACTTCAGGTTCTGGAATTCACTGCATTGGTTCTATAATTACAGAGTGTGTGAATGTTTTTCACAAAGGTTTCTAAACTTTAATGTTCACTTGTTTTCCCTGAACACAGTTGCTTCATATGTTTAGGAGGAAAGCACATGTAACAATTTCAAGTGTAGCAAATAAGTTGATGAGAACATCTTGTATTTTATTTCATAACATCCTTCTTATGCCATTTCCGAATCCAACAGTGTTATGCCACCAGAGTAAGAACAGGTGTAAGGCGTGGAAAACTTGGCCAGGAAGTTAAGGAAGCAGCGTTTGAACCGTCTGCAGAAACTGCACTTAAAGGTAGAGTAGTTCTGTTTTAAATACTCGGTGTCTTTGAACCTTAACTGAGAACTTCCTCCAACGAATATGTTTTCTTCAAACCATTAAAGAGATGGAGAATATTGTTTCTTACGTAAGCTTGCTTAGTGCTCTTGAAACAACTGGAGACAGTTTCTCTGCTTGTCTTTCCTTGTAAAGTTTAAAGCTGCAAATGTGTCATGGTATGGAGTTGAATTCCTTGACTTTAAGCTGCTTTTGACAACTAGTAAGTCAAAAATGGTTGTCTCTTTATGGAGATTTGATTGCAGATATCAAAAAATAAGCTACAGTTGCTTTGCTACATTTACAGAAAAAAACCTTCTACAGCATATACAGTTCACAAGAAAGTGGTTTTGGTATTACAGTTGTCTACGACACTGGCTTATGCTTGCTGGTACATCGAGGTGTTTGTAATTTCTGTTGCTTACAAAGGGTTTTTTACTTAGCAGTGTGCAGCAGAACAGACTTGTAAATGTCTAATTATTGCATTGAATTGACAGATAGAGTATGTATATTGGCTGGATAGTGTCTTGACTATAACACGTCAGGTAAAATTGTAGTCTGGAGTTACACAACTGAAGGTCTTTAGTCACAACTGTTCTTCAGTTATAAGAGTGTCTATGACTGAGGCTTACACTTGTACCAGTAATTGACGCGTGGCACAAATCAGGCAGTAGAAAGCAATGGTAAATCAAGTGGTGGAGTTACCCATGAGCTTTGGAAATCCCTTTTTTAACTGGTGTGGATATAATTGCTAC